CTCCACCAGAAAAGTTTAATTCTTAAATGGTTAGGTTGGACAATCATTTGACTAGATTTATTACAATACAGTACATCTTCATTGATTTAGCCCAATTCACCATCATTCCAAATAGACAAGAAAGCTGTGCACAACAAATCACACTGCTGCAACACACGCTACAATCTTTAAACCCCTCAAGTACACAATACCCCTTTTCTGAGTCTTCTCTGCTCCATTGATAATGTACGGCCGACGTAAGCTTATGTGCGCCTAAAGCCCCATCAAACTCCCTATGCAGCAATTCATATAGTTCCACAACTGCACTCTCAAATGTGCAATTACTGTATGTTATTTCTGACAATTCATCCACAAATCCGTTGTTAGATGTTTTTCTTCAGGACCAGTGCTCACTCTCTCTCATGGGCTGAACTCTGACTACTATGAGATCTTTTGAGATGATGGACTTCATTTTATTGTATGTTTTAAAGATGCAAGCATCTCGATAATGACCTTAAGTCTCTCACTTTTGATACATTACAAAACAGAAATGCTGTTGTTAGGGCTTTCACTGCTACTCTCAGTCATGTGCTGACTCCACACTTTTATGTATGTAGCACTTGCACTGGGGATTGTGTCATTAACCTCAGCTGAACACACGGAGAGCTTCACAATTGTTCTCAGAGGAGCTGTGACAGGTTTCTCTACTGTTACAAATCCCGAGACCCCTTAAGGCCTGTGTTTCAAAGATTTAGAGAACACCCACAACCCCTGTTTAGATATATGGTTTCACAGATTTGACCAAAGCCTTCTATGATGACTGTAAAACAAATCTCCAAATTTACATACTGACATCATCATTTGGCACAGGATACGATGCATGCATCAGCACACATTCATATCCAGCTGATTTTCTATTTTATCAAAAAAAGATTACAAACACAATAATGATTACTTTTCACGGAAACTGCTTTTGCAAACATCACACACTATTAATTTTGAACATCAGCTGCAGTGTTGATGTGCCCACCTCACACACTGTAACTAGGCAACCTGTTCTGTTACAAGATGCATTTTACTATTCAGTAGCCTTATCTTACCATGCCATTTCATCATTTCATTTCGTACTATGGTCTGGATTTGCTCCCTCTGAAGATTTAAACAATTGGATCTGAGTTTACTGTGACATATGTAGTACGCCCTAGTGAGTGAGGCATTTAGCATTTTGCCTAGCCATCTCCTTTGCGACTTATGGAGCCTGTGGGCAGTAGAGTCACAACATCTTTGCTACGACTTCAATGTCTTGATATTTGGGAGCCGTATCAGAACATGACCAAGCCCCGGTGATCCAAGATGGCGCCCTATTCAAATGCATGGCTTGTGTTCAGTAGAGCATGGGACTTCACGGCCGCTGACATATTAGCAGAACTTGCCCATATTTGGGCATCGTCTGGTCCTCCCGGTTCTGCGCAGTGGACGAGCTCCCATAATGCACTGCGCCAAATACGCGTGTGTGGCTCTCATGCACGTGCACAGAGCGGCTTGGCCGCGCTTTGACCAATCAGCGTTGCTCATCTGAGCAGCGGTAAAGCAGAGCCAGAGCGGGAAGGAAAGGAGCAGAGTTTGTGGCAGTAAAGTGTGGATTTAAACAAAACCGAAGGATTTAAGAATAAAAACAAAATTCTGGACAACAAGGGACAGAAAAATCCCCACAAAATCCGATCTTTGTGAAAGCTTAAAGTTCTCTGTCAGCTGAGGTCAAGCTGTTTTGAGATCTATGGAGAAAATGTCTCAGTAGCCCCCGTGAATTTAGTCGGCAGTTCCATATGCCCATGGGTGGGACAGCTATAAGCTAGTAATACCCTATCCAGTTATTATTATAGATCCATGAACATGACTTTATCATCTCATTCGCTGCCATTGCCAAACTACAACCTGCAAATTCGGCGCAAGCTCTTGACATCACTGACACCAACCTACAACACCCGCGTCCCCCACTCGCTGAATAGTCAAATGGGATACAACAGGTTAGCACAGCTACTATAGGATCAGACCCAGACGTACATGTAGGGAAATAATAATTGACCAGAGTTTACGGATGGCTAAGGCCAGAGTAAATTTCACTGGCGGAAACAGGTTAACAGCAACGGAATTTTCTATTAAAACGTCCTGCATCATTATAAGACCTGTTTATAGAGGTCTAAACAAGTTTAGATGAGGGCGTTTTACATGATAAAACGGGATCACTTAGTATAGCAATGTAAGCTCAAATATAGCAGTCGTTGTTTAATTGCGACATTCAGCTCTACCCCAGCACGTTGGTAATCGTAAAAACACATTCATTATTGTTCGGTGTCTATTACTGTTGCATTGTTTCCAACACAATGATACAGATTTACATTTTAATCGTATTTACCAGTCGTTATTGTTTCTGTAATGACAGGAAGCACTGCAAGAAAGATTAACCTCAACAAATCAAATATTGAATACACTGCTAATTTATTTGGTATCATAGTCCTGCTTATGAGTTTACATACAGTAGCTTGGTTGTTTATATTATTTCTCTGCCCTTTTTCAGAGAATACGAATGATGCAATATAGATTTTGCTTCATGGCTTGTGGTACAGCAGCCACTATAGTAAAAGATTTATAATATATTTTTAAACAATATGATATGATACAGTATTAATATATAAAACAATCATTATCAATAATCATTGAAATTCAAAAAACCTAAAAAATATCAATAATGTATTGGATGAATTTAAAAAAATAATATGAATAAAAAAATTGCTACATACTACTGGTCCTTAAGCAAAGTTGAATTGTTTGCTGATCAAATAGATATAGTAAATGCAAGGCAAAAGTGAAAGAGCCACATTTACCCCTTGTGCAAAATAGAGTAGGCAACTGTCAAAGAAAACATCAGAACTTCCTCTGAGAACAGCTCGCTGTGGAGATGCAAAGGCCCAACTTTGTCACCTTCTCTGTATTTTCCGCACCGCTGCCCATCTGAAAGAGCCGCTGACAACAGGCTCAGCTTTCTCTCCTTTTTCCAGTAAAGACTTTTGTGGATCAATCCAGAGGCTGAGGTCACCCGTCCAGACAGTGATGTGGGCTCACTGATCTCAGAGTCATAAATCATTAATTACATTATTGCTCTATTCCCCTTTTAAAGCACAGCCCCTCTGCAACTTTACACACCCGTCAATATGTAGGCACAGGGTAGCAGAGCGCACGGGGAAACTTTAGAGAGGCCTCATTAAACGTTGTGAAGCTATCGATTAAGTTTTTGTATAAAGACATTTCTTCTAAAGAGCACTTCTTCTAAATGTGCCCATAAAGACTAATTTAATAAAGACTATACAAAAGTTAAAGTATTGAAGGCCGTAGTATATAGCACACAAAAGCCCTAGACTAGATGAGACACTCACGCAATGAAAATATAAGAAACACTTTACTGCACCATTCTGAGTCAATGCTACAACAATGCTTTACAGGTGGGAGATGATCCCCAAAGGAAAGAGGTGACACAGACATCTATACAATACTGTAGTGTACATTGTTCATGGTCCTTTTGGTCAAATACAATAAAGAATCACACAGGGACAATAAATGTGTATATTGGTAAATATGCCGGAGGTTAACACTTCTCTGTTGGTCATGATTAATGTAAAGCGACTGCTTTGTGGGAGTGGATCATTGAATATCTCATTGACAAGAGGCCATTGTGTGTCATATGGAGATCTGGAGGAAGATGCAGTGTGGGCACAAGGCATAATAGCCACAGGGAGCAGGAGTACAACTCTGCTCTGCTCAGCAGGACCACCAGCATCACTCAGGCCCCCACATGACTTCACCAACTTAAACATAGTACTGTCTGCCACTGAGCAATCACTTATACTAAACAGTTAAACAAACACATATCTTTTTGTGACAGTCCAACATAAAATTGGGCCACATTTGAATGAGATGATTTAGGGTTGTAGCAAATTATTAATTTGATTCAAAATTAATCATGATTAATAATGATTATTCTTTATGAATTGATTAGTTGTGCAGGGGGAAGATTGATGCAGAAAAAGTAGTACATGATTTTTTCCGTGAATATAACGTGCTCTGTTTGTATCTTATCACATCTCCAAGAGCTGTACAGAGTATTGGAGTCTGTAAATGCATATGAGCAGTTAACAATTCATTCATTACATACAGTAGCTACTACAACAAAAAAGGAAACAATTCGCCATGAAAACAATGTTCAAACTAAAAGGGTCAATATTGTGACAAGTTGTGTGACAAATATTCTACATATCCACAAATTAATCTCTTCTCTACTATTACACACATATCCCACATTCCCAGATTCCAGAGAATTCTGGATATTGTTAAGAGGACATAAAAGCAGTTTGTCTTTAGGCTTATAACAAGCCTGGCAGATCTTTCATGTTTAGGTACAGTAGCTGGCTTCATTTACACTACAGAAGACGTGCAGATTGCATTATGCATTACAACAGTATATGATCCCAACAAAATTGGCTAACAAATGTAAGTTATGGATACAGTCAACTTTGCTTTTCATAATGCGATAGCTGAATTAGCTTCATTTACAGCCCTACTTAACTATATGTTAGGGGCCTTGAGCAGAGAAAAAAGTGCCTTTCCCAAGGTCAAAATCATAGCAAGCAGGATGCAAAACAACATGTAAGCACCCCTGTCTGTATCGAGAATACGAGATCGCCATATGCTCAGAGCTCCACACGGGCCAGCCGAGACACCCTCATAAAACCACTGTTATGGCTCCAGCATTTAGCCAAAGCACCTGGGTAATGCCTGCAAACGCTCCACGCACACAACTGAGTAGATGAGTAAGATTTTTCTAAGATCAGAGCGTTGTGAATAAGCTGTTGGAGTTAGAGTGGTCTTTAGGAACTATTGCTGTAATCACAAAAGCGCGGGGAAGGCGAATGGCGCGAAACCTGTCACATGGACCATGACATGGGGCTGAGGCTGGTGTCGCTTACCTTACAGCCGAACATCAGCGACAGTGTGCGGTTACTGCAGATGAGCTTGCACTGGCACATGACCGGAGAGAGACACTTCAAGTTTTTAATGGGCAAAGACATGGGTGAAAGCAGCTAAGCGGTCGCTCGTCCTCGGTCACACGACATCCGCCGGTCAAAGCTGGCTAAAGGACAGCGGGGACAGCAGCACACGGAGACGGGCTGGACACGGTCTGTGAGCCCGCAGAAGAGCAGCAGAGATGTCCGATGAGAGGTGCGATCTGGTTGTGTATCAGCTGTGCCTGTGGTCTGTTTAACACCGTGCATTTTCTTCACAGCCGCGTTCCTCTATACATTGCCATATTGCTCTTCGAAGCTACACTGGAAACATAACTCCCCGTGTGCTCCCCCTATCTCACTCCCTCTCCCGCTCCTCCAGCCTCTACAACAGTCTATGGCCTCTACACGCTAGCTCTTTCCCCCGATTTGGATTTCAAGTTTTCCTGTTTGATATACACGTGTGCTAGAATCGCAGAAACAAGTGTAAAATATATTATCACCATTTATCTATTATCATGTGGAAAAAGACGGATGGATTTAAATCTCCATCACACAGTATTGCCTTCACTCGTCTCTCTATTTGCTGTGTATCTAGTGCGCCCTCTGTCGGTGTAGAGTTGTGTGTGCGGGTGCTGTCCAAGGTTCTGAACTAAAGACGGATAGATGCTGTTGCTGCTGATAGGGCTAAGCTAAAACAAGATTTATTAAAGCTGTTGAGCGTATGTGTAGTCATAAAGAAAATACAATAATAATTAGAACATTCTCTTAAAATATCCTAATTGTTGAATTTTAAAGAAGATACAGGGCTCAGTGCAGTGCAACAAAACGAATCACAGAAAGGCAACAAGGAGACAAGAGTACTGCATGTAGATAAGACAATCTAAAAAAGTGCATCTTCAGTTTACTTTTAAGTGAGCTCAGCGTTGGGGTATATTTATTAACATTAAATGCAGGGTGTACTGTAAATGTATTATTTCATGTGTTCATCAGATCAGTTTCACCATTCAGTCAGGATTAGATAACACAATACAGTCTGTTCGATATGTGAGAAGATTGTGTTTTCTCTTACAGACAATGATCTGTTATATCATATATATTTGGTAAATGGCATAAATGTAACTTTTGATTACTATTTCACTTCCAAATACAGATGGCTATGCCCATGCTGAGTTGTGCTGACGTGTCGAGACCACTGGGTGGAGTGAGAGAACCAGGTAGGATGGATTTAAATATTGTGCATTCATCTCAGGGCCAACTGCGGCGTTCTCAGTGATGTCAGCGTAAAATCGAACAGGGAAACTGCTCCAAATTCAGCATTTTTTCTAAGCCACACAACCTTTTAGAGAGAAAGGGATGTCCCAGCTGATGTGCGTTTTCTAGAGAGAGGCAAAGAGGAGGCGGCAGTGCTTTCAGTCTGTGGCAGCTCCATGAAAAGTGAAGGGGAGCCAGTAAGGCAGTATCTGAGAATGTCTCATGTAATCTATGTTCATCCATTAAACCACAGCAATGCATAGTTAGGAAATTCAAAGAAAGCAATATCATATTCACTGTTTGCGTTTGCACATTACAAAACTGCATATATTGCAAATGGAAGTACTATAAGTAATGTTCTTATTTTGGACAAATCCAAAATATATAATTGTCCCTCTCTATCTGAACCAACAACAAACAATTAAACTAAAGTAATTGCACTTTGAAATATTGTCATTTCTCTAGTACAAGAAACAATGGTGCAGTGGCATATGTGTCGAAATCAACAAAAGTCTTGATTCTAGCTGCTAGATTGAGATTGAGAGATATGTGGCTGAAATTGGTGCAATTCTCCCTGACAGTATTTTCACATACAAGATAAGTTAAAGACTGCTCATGAAAGTGTAAGATACTATTTATACAATTTGGCAAATATCAATGTGGCATAGTAACTGCATGTACTTTGTGAGCGCTATTCTCAGCTCAGTTTCTATAGTTACAGAGTTTAACTGCTGTTGTATTTGTTTATAGTTGCCGGTAAATAAGTAAGAGAACTACATTTTTCTTTTTTGAGTTATGCAATTTTATGCTGGTTTACTGTTACAGTAGTATTTATTCATTCATTTGGATAGAAACATTTGGCCTGACATAAAACCCTGGTAAATACATATCAACCATTCTACTATCTATGTGGATCAGAATTACTTCAATCATGGGTTATATATATATGAATCAATTACTGAATATATATAGCTATAACATATAGCTATATATATTAAATATATGAGAGAGAGAGAGAAATTTGTTATTTTCAGCCTTATTTAGACAATTATTTTTTGTGTTTGGTGAAAGGAAACTTTTTAAATGAAATATATTAGACATATTAGCTTTTTTGATTGTTAAAAGTGATGCATTTCATACACGTGTATGTATCATAGAGAACTGTGAAAGATCCAAGCACCATAAGAAATTTGCTATTAGTTTTTGTTGAAAAACAATCTGCATCCAAACATGGAAAGAACAGATTTAAGTCATTATTTACTGAACACAAAGTAAACTATGAGGAACTGCTGGATAATAACAGAGGTTTGAGGACAGGCCTCGCACTGTGTAAAACTTCACCCAAAGCTGAGTCTGTGTTTTGAAAATGATTTGTCTTGGAAGCTAATGCTAAGCTCTAAGTTGACACACTTACTTGTACATCAAGTTGATTGTTTTTGTGTGAAGAAAGATTTGGGTATTAATTAATCAAGTGATTCATGTTAGCTTTAGCTTAAATAGAAACAAACGTGTGTGTACTCAAACACTGAAATCTCCTCTGGTGAAACACCTCCTGGTTAAATAAAGGTTGATAAAGAAATAAAAAATACACTCAATGTCTGTTGTATGTTCAGTAAATATTGATATCTATTTGTACATTTCTTATAGTCCCATGTTTGAGGAAGTACGTTTCCACATGGAATCGAGCAATTGGATCTAGCCCAGCGGCTGCGTGAAAAAGGTGTATTGTGTCTTTAAATCGTATCAGTGTTGTTACGAGCCAGACATGTGTAATCTCATCTGATTCAAATGAAAAGAAAGAATATTTCCTGCCATTTCACAATACTGTTTTGACAATAAGATAATTCATATGGAGAATAATCATAAAATTAACGGATTAGCAAACTCAGTGAGATCTTGCCAGGAAGATGCCATGCTGCTGCCCATGTATCTATCTCTGACGATGATCTCCATGGTGCTCTTATACTGTAGGTGGCATCCCCTCTCCACACAGTATTATGTAAGTGTGGGTGTCATATGGAAGCCTGAACCGTGGATGAAGCATTAGTATTAACATCTTAATACTGCATTGTGTGAAACTGAAAGAGCACCCCAGAACGGTGTTTCCATGACAACATCTGCAGGGGGTTGCAGATCCCAAACAAACAGTGCACATGCCAAGACTGTCCTGGTCACTGTTTCTAACATGTGTGCGGTCACTACCAGATGGGCCAGTCCTATTACTCCACTACTATTATATGCCCTTCCCACCGTTCAAACTGTGTTCACAAAACACATATCACTTGAAGCAGGAGCAGTCTAAATATAGATCCACGCTGTGAGTTTGCTAAATTTAGAGACACACTTTGGATTACTTTTACACAAACAGCTTCAGGTCGTTAGCCTCCTCCAGCCTCCTGCAGCTCTCACATGCAAACAAGTGGGAATCTCCTGAGGTTGTGCCCATCTCAGTTCTGCTCACAAGAAAATACCTGAAGTGATGATTATACTATTTACTACCGTCAACATGATACAGCTAATGTAAACTGCTTTAACTTCACAATCAGCCTGCTCCCAGACCTCATCACTTTGAACAAGATTAAGTAAAGCCTTCTTCATTGAAACTCACGTGAATTAGGAGTTTTTTAAAACAACTAGGCCTATTGTTGTACATGAACACATCTGACATATAAAATGCGCTTAACATAAGTAGTTGGACCACCAACCTTCCACGGAATAGTGAATGCTCTAGAGATGCTCTTGTGTACATAGTAGAATTATCAGTTATCAGACAATAATGTCTTAGCAAACACAAATTTGTGTGGGTGATCAAATTCTGTACGATTATATAACATATATAGATTACAGCCAAAATGAGGATTGTAGTGAGTAAAATCAAAAATTTTTTCCACCAGTTAGATGCATAGGTCTGTGTGATATAATGGGCCATATAATACCATTCACAGTATGCCAGTTTTGGCAGTTTGTTGGTCAAACCATCAATTGAAGATTAAATGATCTGAAATCTCTCTGAAATCAAAACAGTATAATGAGAACATGGTCTGACTTGCTTCCACCATCACTGGTGTTCTTCTCCTCCCACACTGAAGGCTCTTTCACCACCTGTCCTCTGTGTCAGACCTATAGAACTGCACCAGATGACCACCTGTTACCCATGCTCCAACCACACGGCCTTCTGGAGAGCATTCTGCAGTACCATCCACACTTCACCACACTTTACCATACTCTACATCAGAGTATGGTAAAGTGTACACACTACATCATCAAAAGTCTTGCGGCACACCACCAGGAGAAAATGTAAAAATATATACTCTGTAGCCTATATTTACAATATAAAGTCATTCATCAAAGTGCTTAAATAGACTTCCAGGCCTTGGCATTAAGCTTTGTTTAATATTTCTCAATATAATGAGTTAACAAGAGTTTGGGAATAAAGTGGCACTAACTGTGTGGGGACTCTCAGCTGTCCACGAGTCCATGGTTCTGTCTCCGCGTCTAAGGTTCTTTTCAGCGCATCCATGGTTCTGTCAACGCGTCTGTCCACGCGTCTAAAATCTGTGCTCGGTACTACTGATGTGCGTTTGCTGAGCTGTTGTCAAAGTGGCTGTCAGTACAACGCAGCCACAGCTGCCCTGGGGTCAGAGCGAGAGAACTTTTACTTCTCACTTGCCACAATGCTCCTCGCTCCCTGTTACATTTGTTGGTCACATCCAATTCTTACGTTTCTCGCCACATGCTCCCCGCTAACTGTTACATCTTGTGGTTTTGTCCAATTCTTACGTTTCAAAGTACTTAGCTATCTGCTGCTACCT